GAAACACAAAAGAACATACGAAGCGAGTTATTAATTAAAGAAGATGTGTGAAATCACGTTAAATAATTGTAGAAAAATGCAATGGATTTTAGTGATATCACTTAAACCCCAATTTTGCTCTAACACCAGCTCATATAGAGTATTTGACTCATTTTGTGTGCATTAGTAGGCCTCAGATTTGAATTTCTATATATTTCTGTATATAACAGACATTAAGAAGTAAAGTGACATTGCATTTAAAGTTTTGGACAACAAACTTTATTAGAAAGCAAGAAGTCGGAAGAGAGTTCCACAAGCGAGAAGTGCGTTGATTGATTGATTGTTTTGTTTAACGGCATCTCAACCTTAGTGGTCACTTTATGCCGAAAATGATTTTGAGTGTCTTTAAAAGTCAAAAACGTATAGCTGGCAAAATTATGGTTTCCAAAAAAAACAAAAAGAAAAGTATAGCTGGCAACATTATTGTTCCAAAAACGTATAGCTGACAGCATTATTTTTTTTCAAAAAACGTATAGCTGACAGCATTATTTTTTTTTCAAAAAACGTATAGCTGGCAACATTATTCTTTACAAAAAACGTATAACTGGCAACATTATTTTTTAAAAAAACGTATAACTGGCAACATTATGGTTTCAAAAACGCATAGCTGGCAACATTATGGTTTCAAAAACGCATAGCTGGCAACATTACGGTTCCAAAAACGGATTGCTGGCAACATTATTTTTCCGAAAACATTATCTGAGGCCTTGCTGTTGGATGTAGTTTATCGCCGTACCCAGGACGCGGATGTAGTTTACCGTCATACCCAGGACGTCGAGAAGTGCGAGAGAAGAAACTGTTAGTATAGAATTTACGGTTGCATCTAGTATTTATCATATTTCTTAGCAAGGGTTCTGATGGTGCGTGAAAGATGTGCACCGATCCCACAAAATGACCGTGCAAAAGATTTCGACCACATAACATAAGCTAAGTCAGATGTGTTTTAAAACCAATCAACGACGTCATTTGAAACGCGCTGTCGTCTTTGAATTTTCAAACAACAATGTTTATCGTCTGTTACGAAAGTTTGAAAGCTCACCCCAGAAAATAATCAACAATATCTTCCCTCCTAAAAATAGATATTTAAAAATTGGGAAAAATATTTATCAACAAGTAAACTTATGAGTTTAATAAAATTTAACTTTTAGTCTTTTCGGAGCCGATTTCTCGGTTATAAAAGCGATCATATTAGTTCGCAAAAATTAGTTTTTCAGTTATTCCGTAAGCCTTTCACCAGGGTTGTTCGTTCGTTATGCAAGCTGAAATTCTCAAACATGAATTACTCACACTTTCGCGTATTTATTCCAGTATACTATATTACAAAAATTGCGAAAAAGCTTAGCGATGTGGCATTAAGAAACACAAAATAACATACGAAGCGAGTTATTGTCTACACAGATTTTATCAGTAGTATTAATGAAGCTACATTTTCCAACTGCTAGGAAATTACGCGCATACATAAAACTACGTAAATACGTGACAGATTAATTCTCACATGTAGACGTATTCTATTTTTATCATACTAACGCAAATATTCTGTGGAGTGATAAAAAAAGAGAAAACAAATATTTTTGTGTGAAGTTGTTTCGCAAAGAATCTTTGTAATCCTTTTCTTTCAATTTGAAAGAAAACTAACATTCAGTAATAAAAATTATTTCAAGGCCGTGTTGAAGATCTCGTTAGTTCTTTGTTTATCTTCGCCTATCCCTCCACAAATATGCGCTCTCCGGCAGGATTCGAACCCACGTCCCCCTGGACAGCGGGAAACGTTGAAACGCGAGCTACAGAGCCTATCATCCAAGGTTGAGTGCGTTTGAGAGAAATTCCTCTCGTTATAGACTTCTCGAAATTTATCATATTTGCCCAGTTTCGTATCCAAACGTAAACAAAGCAATTTAATAAAAAATCTATTAATTTTTTTCCTTTCTTTTTCGTAATGACCCCCAAAACCTCGCCTTCATCCAAGTCTGTTTTCAAATGTTCCTTCTGCAACATGATGTATTTGGTGCGATTTAAGCTATCGTCAATTTTTACCAATTTTCTTGAGTTGTCCATTTCTATGCAGTTCTAATGCTTCAGGATATTACAAAAATATTTTGAATTTACTGTTTTAACGGACAACACATCTATTGATATGAAAACCATAAAGATGCTTTCAGATGAGATTGAAAGTACTTGTGAAAATAAAATCTATTTGAAAGAAAATTAAAAAAAATTCTTAATTAATTTTCTATAACTAAAAAGAAATTAATTTGTGGACCTGAAAGGATTGAAACTAAAATAAATAGACATAATACGTCAAATTATTTAACCAAAAATTCATATATATATATATATATAAATATATATATATATATTTATATATATATATATATGTGTGTGTGTGTGTGTGTGTGTGTGTGTTTTATTTTATATGCGCAATATTTAGTGGAAAGCGCTCATTATCAGCGGGAGAGCTAACATACTCAGTTGTATAGATATGAGTTTGTAATCCTGGTTTTCACGTTTTTTGCGATCATCAAACTGGTTTATTTTTTTAAAGCGTGAAACGCAGGGCCACAAACTCATATCCATATAATTGAATATATATATATATAATATAGTGATTGAATTTGGATTTTAAAATTGCCAGTTTTTAATTTTAATATTAAATTTTATCATATAATTTTATAATTATTAGTTAGTATAAATTATTTTTAATATTACACGTATTTAAAGATCTGAATAGCTATTATAGCAGGATTTCGTTGTCAAGCTTTTTGAATCTTTCTATACTTCGTTTTTGATTGGTTATTCTAGCTTTTGTAACAATGTTTCCCCCTAGTGTAGGATCGTTAATTAATCTGAAACTTTTAAACCATTTATTTTCTTTTTTCAACATCATCACTTGATAAGACACAGAGTGTGTTGAAACAAAATGGCTATTTTTGTAGTGATTTTATAACATACTTATGTTATAATTTTTTTATAAAAATAATTATATATATATATATATATATATATATATGCAGGTCCGATGAGAACGAATAGAGTACAATTTCAACGTTCGTGACATTTAATTTAAAAGAGAGCTCAATAGAGAGCAATTTACAATCGCCTGAGACATCCACTGAAATATGATGGCAATTCTGTAGTGATTTTTACATGTTTTCGGCATAATATCCTATATATATATATATATATATATATATATATATATATATATATATATATATATATATATATATATATATATCTGATAAGCGTCAGGAGATGTAACTAAGTACGAAATTTCAAAATGTTTTTTTTTTACTATTTAAAAGTATCTATAAAATTGAAATCGTACAGAACATTATCATATCATCTTTCACTTCACAAGTAAAAAACAACTTTTAGATGAACACAAAAATTTTTGTCTTAGAAGATCAAAACTTTGATGATGACATTGTGCTAATGTTGAAAGTACCCGGAATAAATGAATGGTAATCTTGTTTCTTTCTTTCATAAGGATAATAAGAAGCTTGTCCGTGAATGAGAAGATCCTATTTAAAATAAATAGGCAAAATCTTGTCTAAATTATTCAATGAGACATAAAATGTAAATGACCCAGAGCACTGTAAAAGGGTTTTGGTGAAATAACTTATTACATGGAACCTTAAAGTGATCTGTTTTTATTCAAACATATTTGCTCAGAACTTACATTGAGCTCTCTCGATATCGTCCTTTTGGGTCTACCCATATAGATTACCTAGTTTTGCATAAACTATATATATATATATATATATATATATATATATATATATATATATATATATATCGCAAAACAAAAGGAAATGCTTAAAGTCTCAAATACAAACGACCAATATTCACCTAGACAAGGAAATTCATATAGCCGCAAATCTAAACGACCAATATTCACCTATCCCAAGACAAGTAAATGATTATAGACTCAAATATAAACCAATATTTTACCAAAGTATTTACATAGACTCAAATATGAAGGACCAATATTCACTTATCCCCAAGACAAATAAATGCTTAATGCTATAAACGACCAATATTCAAATCCCCAAGGAAATGCTTATAGACTTAAATATAAACGACCAATATTCACCTATCCCCAAGACAAGTAAATGGTTATAGACTCAAATATAAACGGCCAATATTCACCTATCCCCAAGACAAGTAAATGCTTATAGACTCAAATATAAAGGACCAATATTCACCTATCCCCAAGACAAGTAAATGCTTATAGACTCAAATATAAACGACCAATATTCACCTATCCCCAACACAAGTAAATGCTTATAGACTCAAATATAAAGGACCAATATTCACCTATCCCCAAGACAAGTAAATGCTTACAGACTCAAATATAAACAGCCAATATTCACCTATCACAAGGACAAGTAAATGCTTATAGACTCAAATAGAAACGACCAATATTCACCTATCCCCAAGACAAATAAATGCTTATAGACTCAAATATAAACGACCAATATTCACCTATCCCCAAGACAAGTAAATGCTTATAGACTCAAATATAAACGACCAATATTCACCTATCCCCAAGACAAGTAAATGCTTACAGATTCAAATTTAATCGACTAATATTTACCACTCCCTGAACAAAAAAAAAAAAAAAATGCGTATTGACTCAGATTTAGACAAAAATATTTACCTTTCCCATAATCAAGTAAATGCTTATAGATTCAAGTATGGATGACCAATATTTACCAATCCTCGAACCGAAAAAATGTTTGTAAACTCTAATAATCTAGAATAACTAAGAAAGTTTAATCCAGGAATGACTGATGTGTCGTAAAATCAAGTAACACAACTTTAATACATCTTAATGCTATGTTTATCGTAGTAGGGTGCTCAGTATCGGCCATAAAATCTTTATAGGTATTAAGAGAGTGGACATAGAAATCATTACTGCATGGTAACTGTGAGTTTCATAGATTAAGCGACCATTAGACGATACACAGAGAGAGAGAGAGAGAGAGAGAGAGAGAGAGAGAGAGAGAGAGAAAAGGAGAAGATATGAATAAATAGAGAGTGTGAAGAAATTGTCAGACATCTTTGAAAATAAGCATTTTGATTTGGGTCACTAACACAAAAAAAAAAGAATGTCTAATATTGAGAATTTTTAACATTGAAAAACATAAGAAAAATTAATTTCTTTTAATAATATGTGGAAATATCCACTTTTTGCCTGATGAAGGTCGCGAGAACGGAAACTCGTGTAGCAAAATCATGGAAAATAAAACATAATATTTAAAAAAAAAATCCACATTACAACCAAAAACATTTCCGATTTCTCTCTTCTTTTCAATATATACACTTTTCTCTCGTTGCAACAATTATAACCTCTTCCCTTTATATATATATATATATATATATATATATTTGTGCGTGTGTGTGTTTATACACCCTTGTGCAAATGAATTGAAACAAAATGGATAATTCTGTTATTATTTACTTTTTTTCATATTTTCCAGTGAAATATGACCCAGTGCACATATTAGAATTTCGTATGTCCATTCCACGAAGTCGTTCCTTGCAGATAGACCACAGATTCTCGATTGGATTTAAAGCAGGAGCGTTTTCGGGCCAGTCTATAGTACTTTGATTTGCTCACTGGTAAGGCTTGCCAGTGAGTTCGTGCAGTGATACAATTTTCGTACGGTTCCTTAGAGTAATGTCAATCACAGACAATGGCTGTAGGACAACTAATCGACAGTCGAGACAATATGTCTGAGTGTCATAAAAATCTGATGCAGTCACGAATGACGCTATATTTTTCAAGGCCAAACGAATTTCATCATACACCCCGAAAATAGATTCATATTACTGCACACCACGGCAAATGACTGAGTAAAAAATAGAAATCGATAACATCCTGTCACTCCAGTGGGTCTAAAACTGACCGTACAGTAAAAGAAAGGAAACTAAAGTGCTTTTGTTTCAATTAATTTGCACAATGGTGTATATTCTAAGGGGGGAAAAAGCTATGACAAAATGGAAAATGTTTTCGTGTGAAGCTTTTCTTTACTGAACGTCCTTTAGAAATTCATCGAACGAAAGATATGCGAAATACGAAAGCTTTTTTCTACTTTGTCATAGTATTTTTCCTCTAAAATTGTTCTTGATACATAAAAACTTATCGTTTGCCAATATATACAGGGTGTATCAAAATTGCTTTGGGGTAGGGTCCCTCACACAAAAACAAGAACAAAAGTCCATATAAACAAATGTCCGAAAATCCATCCTTTTTGTGTTATTAAGTTTAAAAAGTTTTCGTATGTCGCTGTGTTATCACGTAGACTAGGTTACATTTGTCATTCGTGTACATTTGTGGCTAGTCTGTCTTCAACCTTTAATGTGTGCAGTAGTGAGTTAGCTGAGAAGTATTCCGTTTAACAATGACAGGATATTCATATCGTAAGCAGGCAGATATGATTTTTACATACGGCCACGCGAATGGTAATGGATGTGAGGCTGCACGGCTGTATCAGATTGCGTTTTCAGACCGAAGGCAGGCGAGTCATCCAACCTTTGCTGATGTTTATCGTCGCGTTGCTGAGACAGGATCCGTGGCACCACAAATTATGGATCGAAGAAGATCGATACCCGTACGTTCACTTGACCACGAAACACATTCTACAGACGGTTCAGGTCAATTGACCCTAGCATGTAATACATGTGATAGTACCACATTGAGGGTACTTCAAGAGCAGCACCTTATCATTTGCAACGTGTGCAAGGTCTTTTACCCTCTGATCACTCATCACGGGATAACTTTTTCTGATGGTCTATTACACAAACTGCCGATCCGTTGCTTGTCTCTTCAGTCTTGTTTACGGATGAGGCAACATTTGGAAGAGATGGAAAAATTTACACAACCAACACTGTGAGCGGATCGGAATCCTCACGGTATAATACAGGCTAGACATCAGCATCTGTTTACGATTAATGTGTGGGCTGGAATTGTTGGTGACTGTAGGGTAGGTCCATATACGCTCCCAGCACGTCTTACAGGAACTGTTTACAGGGACTTTATTTCGAACACACTTCCAGAACTTCTAGAGGATGTATCCCTGTTAACACGGAGACGCATGTAGTTTATGCATGATGTTGCTGCAGCACATTTTAGTTTACATCGTTCGCGATGCAATGGCTGACATCTGCCATAAAAATGGATACTTAGAGGAAGACTGGTTTCATGGCCTTTACGTTCCACCGACCTCAATACTTTCGGTTTTTATTTGTAGTGCTGCCTAAAACAATTTGTTTCTGCAGCAGACATTAATAATGCAGAGACGCTGTGTTGTGTTATAACGATGGCCATTTGGACATATGTTCATACGGACATTTTGTTTTGGTGTCAGTATTTGTAAAAGTATTTTTGATACACTATATATATATATATATATATATATATATATATATATATATATATATATATATATATATATATATATATATATATATATATATATATATATATATATATATATAAGAAATTATAAAAAAAATTTTTAAATATTCTAAAATCCCCAACACAACAATTTTAGTCCGAAGTCCTGACGAACGAAACGCGCCACAAGTAAACTTTTTCTGCTTTGTCATACATTTTTCCCACATATATATATATATATATATATATATATATATATATATGAAAGACTTAATGAATTTATTTACAATCCGAAATTTTACACACGATTTAAAATAAAAATGAGTCTATTTCAAATACAGACATCCACTAAAAATAACATTTAAAGTAATATATATATATATATATATATATATATATATATATATATATATATATATATATATATAATCAGCAAATCGTATTTAATTCAACAGATAAGGTCTGGCCGTTTCATTTGTGTGTGTGTATATATTGTTATTCTTGTTCTTTATTGTATTGCAATTACAGTGTCATATTTTTATTATAGTTTGTTTTAATTTGTCTTTACATATCGTGTTCGATTCGATCTTTGTCTTCTGAAGTCATGTCTGCCGAGATGTTATGACTAGACTGAGACAATCAGTTGGCTGTCTTTATTTTAATGATTTATCCAAAATATTCGACGAAATATCAAAATTTCGTGCCCAATTTTCACTGATCATATAAAATGACCGTAACTTGATACTGGTGTTCGTTTTTGTGCCGATTTCTGGTGTCATTTCAATTGAAGACTTACATCGTTCAGTTTCGAATGAGATTTTGAAGCTTTGTCCATAAATAAATGTCTTAAAGATGGAGGATGAATAGTCGTACTTTCGCCATAATAAGTTCTATGAATTTCGGAAAGGAGTAAGCTTCAGAACTGCAACAAGATATCGCTTTGAAGGTTTATTTGGATCGTGCTCCAGCACTTTGGACGGTTTAAAATTGGTTTGGCAGATTTCATCAGGGTAATTTTAACCAAAACAGTCAACCACTCCACGGATGACCTCCCGACGTCGATGAAAACGCTCTGATTGCCATCATGAAGAATAAAGCGAAGATTTCGATTGAAGAGAGTTTTAAGAGTTTGAAAATCGATATTTAAACTGCCTTTGGCCACCTGAAGAGATTTCGGTTCGTTTCCAAACTCGACAAGTGTGTGCCACATTCACTGACGGAACAGAACAAAGCTCGATCGTGTTTCTGCAGGGATTTCTTTGCTGTTACGCTACGAAAAGGATTCGTTCTTGGAGAGAATTCTTACAAGTGATGAAAAAATAGATCGTTTATGAGAACGTTCAACGCAAACGAAACTGGAAACAAGCTCGTGAATGTGCAGAATCCGCGTATAATGCGGGCTTGCATCCAATTATATATTGCTGTCCGTTTGGTTGAGTTTCAGAAGGATAATTCACTTTAAGAGCTTCTTCCAGCCAGCGAAACAATAACTGCAAAGAAGTATCGCTTCCAAGTCATCAATAATAATGCGGCTATTCAAGAAAAGCAGCCGATTTTGGCAAATCGAATTTTTTTTTTTTTGGCAAATCGAAAATACCGCATGTTGTAAAACAGAATTTGCAGAAGCTTAAATATTTTAAATGTAAAACCCATCAGAACTGATCGGATTCTCCTAGCTCGTTCGGATTTTCATTTGTTCCGATCTCTAGAGAACAATTTAAATGACAAAAATGTTTGACACTGTACAGCCAGTCGAAAACTACATCACAACCTTCATTCTTATCAGAGAGCGTAAATTCGATTTCTCGAACATTTAAACTGGTAGACGAAAATAAAAAAAAAATACTGTTTAATATATAAATGGAGCCTCTATTCAAATAAGATCATCCACTAATAATAACGGCTAAAGTGATAAAAATATGTCGGTTTAATAAAAATCCATTAGTTTCTTTCAAAAATACGCTTTGTTTCCGTTTAGTTACGAAACTGTGCAAATACGAAAAATTTCGTGAGTTCTTTGACGAGAGAAGTTTCGCTTAAAGCTACAATTTCGGCCTATTCTCAATAATTGTTTCTCTGCAGCTCCGTTTGTCAGTGCGTATTGGATTTAAGGGGGACGCAGGTTCGAGTCCTTCCAGAAGACATTTTTTTTTTAAATAATATTTCCCGAAAATTCAGACTGCTAGACGAAAATGAAGAAATATACTTGTTAATAAATTAATGGGGTGTCTGCTCAAATACGAGTACCCACTAAAAATAACGTTTAAAATAATACAAATCACCTGTATGTTAATTTAAAATGTTTATGGTCATTGAGAATTAAGGATTTCGCGAGCTGATTTCCAAGGCAAACCAGACAACCCTGGTGAGGAATGTTGTCATATTCCTGACTTGTTCTTTTTTCCTGTTTACGTCTGAGTTCGTTATGTTCACATTCGCATAAATACCCTTAGGAATTAATCTTTCCTCATCCAACTATGGGTTAAATAGCAGGGATAAGTGGGCTCTGTTGCTTTGACGTAGCAAGTAGTCTAGGAAAACTCTCAATTCAAACCAACCTGATGAGGATGGACTCCTTCGGGCTAACTTACGCGAGATAAACCTCTGCTGCCATAACGCCAATATATATATAGTGACCCTACGACCCTAATATTTCCTATCGGGTATTGTAGGAATTTCTGATTATTTCGTTAGTCGATACACTTCTTGATTTCTTTCTCTATCTCTCTCTATATATTTATCATTCTGTCTGTCCCTCTGTCTCTGTCTCTGTCTCTCTCTCTCTCTCTCTATATATATATATATATATAGTCATCCACAGACAGACTGTTTCGCTGTATCACGGCACATCAGTGGATCGAAACCCGGCTGAATTGGCGTCAGGCGGAGTTTCTACCCCTAAGCCGTTAGCGCACGGCAGATGAATTTAAGCGTACTTATTTTTTTTCAGGAGCATATATATATATATATATATATATATATATATATATATATATATATATATATATATATATATATATATATATATATATATATATATATATATATATATATATATATATATACTTTTAGAATTAAATTTTAATTTAAAGAAAATAAACATTGACCGCTCTTTTGTGAGTCAGTTTTAATATATTTCAAATTCTATGTTGCGTTAATAGGACTCGCCTGGATTATACCAACGGATTACTACCTCTCTCTCTCTCTCTCTATCTATCTCTCTCTCTCTCTATATATATATATATATATAGACATAGACAACTCGTTGCCGCCAACTCAAGACTGCTAACTAAACTAACAGGTCAGGACGGAGACAGCTCAGCACCAGAAAAACTTTTTTTTAAATAATCTAATCAAAGTAATTTACTAAGAATTAAACCCTTATTTAGTGTCTGTTTTTCTTCAAATAAGGCATTATGTAAAATATGGACTAGTTTTTTGTTTTTAATTATTTCTTTTATAAAAAGTATTTTAGAATGTCGATTATTAAAAATAAATTACATTACGATTTACTTTATTAAAAATAATAACACTATTTACATTCCGACCGCCTGAAGAAGGCCGGAGCGTACAACGTTGTGATAAATATGGCGACAAAGATGAGGATGATAGTCCGAACAATGTAAATAGTGTACATAATAACTCATATCAGAAATATAGACAGATACTAAAAATAATAAAAAACAAAAAAACTGTTTCATTTTGTTTTGCATTTTTCGATGTACTTTATATAAAAATAATTAAAAACAAGTGTTTTATTGAATTGTTTTTTATATGTCAGTTTACTATATTAAAAAAAATGAGCTACAATCTGTTGTTAACTAGGGCAAGAAATGGCTTGTTAATTTGAACACTCCTCATAACGAGACTACTCTCTTTTTAGACGTCTAACAAAACCCTTTCGTCTTTCCATCAACATGGCTGATGCCAACCTTTAGGATAGTGATTCGTTGCGGCTTCTGTGGCTAATATTTTCCGTCAACCTAAAATGGAAAGATTATATTGGATTATATTGGATTATTGTTCTAAAAAAAAAAATCTAAAAACATTCGAAACATTCTCTTGAGTTTTATCTTATTTTTACTGTCTTTCCCATCAAAATTAATTTTAAACTTTCTTTCTTAGAAATCATCTTTTCTGTGGGATTGGCTTCTCTGTTGCTACTTAACTAGCGGCCAAAACAAAGACTGACCTCACCCAGTTTCAAAGAGAAGGGAGTATTTTTCAAAGAAAAGAAATTGCAACCCATGAAGAAAGAGAAAGAGAGAGAGAGGGGGGGGAGAGATAGAGGGAGAGATATATAGAGAGAATGACTGCGATGCATTGAACGTATAAATGCATATTCTTACAGCCTTTGCATTCAATGTGGCAACAAATTTATGTTGCACATTAGAAATAATCCAATTCATCAAAGAAGCCAGGTGTGTGTTTGACCTGAGAGTGTGTCTGGAATTTGCACGCGTGGAAAAAACCGTATGACAGTTAGATATATAAACACCCACCCTAGAGAGGAGAGAATCTCAGACATATTTTTTTTTTACTTGTAATTTATGACGATAATGTTATATAAACGTTTCCAGAATATCATCAGTATCATGACTCCTATGACTGGGCATGGTCGAAGGGTCGCTGCGCAGTGGAGTACAGTGACTACTTACCTTGATATATTTGGAGGGTGTTTTATTCATAACCCAAACTAGGCGATAATAGCAAAGATGGGAGTGAAAGTAAATGAGAAGTCTTTAGAAGGAACCGGGAACCCAATCCTAAACAGGAAACAAGGGAAAGTAAAATTATAGCTCCCTTGAAAATTGAAGATGGTGCCAAAAGAGTTGGGGTAGGAATATGAAAAGGACGATAGACGTTGAAAGGGGGAAACGTGATCATTCATGCGTAGTGTGTCTTGGGGGCCCATATTCCTCCACGTCAAACCGCAATTAATGTCCTCCAACTTGAAACCTCGCCTTGATCACGGCACGTAAACCGTTAATTGCATTGGTGGGTGAGGATCCTTCACCCTGTCTGTTGATTTTCAGGTAATCTGCTCAGAGATTTTGCGTCATCACAGCACTGACTTCATACATAGATATGGAACCCATTCTACATCATACTAGATGTCTTTTGACTTTATTCAACCTTTGATATGGCGTGATTGCAATCCTGCTGTGTGTCTATCTATCCTCCGTACCAGAAAAGCCTGGTTGGGGAACCAGTTTAGTCGCTAATGACGCGGCAATGCTGCAGATAGTACCGCGTTATATGGCACCAGTAGGACGAGTATGACCTGACATCATTTCTGATATTCGAGAATATATAGTTTATTCAAAGCCGACGGCTGTTTTAATGGAAGATGTTTATGTGACCTTTGATATCACAGGTAAGATTTCTTAATACGTTCCTCTCCATTGTACTTAAAATGGTAGGGTCAGAGTTCTTTGGGCTCAATGAAACAATAATTACAGTTCTATTCTAGCGACAGTTTGGAACCGGTAAAAATTGGCAATGCTTTGTTTTTTTTTTTATTTATTTATTTATTTTTTGTTTTTCCTTAACCTGACATTACCTCAAGTCTACAGCCCAACATGAATCATTCGCAATTAAAAGAAAATAATAATAATTTCTTATGGCAGGGAATAAATTGAGTAGACGCAATTTTCTTTCTTTCTTTCTTTGGTTCTTTCTGTCGCTCTTTCTTTCTTTCTTTCTTTGGTTCATTCTTCTTTCTTTTGTACTTTCTGGCTCTCTTTCTTTCTTTCTTTTTTTTTTGGTTCTTTCTGTCTTTCTTTCTTTCTTTCTTTGGTTCATTTTTCTTTCTTTCTTTCTTTCTCTCTTTCTTTCTTTCTTTGGTTCATTTTTCTTTCTTTCTTTATTTTTTTGTTCTTTCTTTCTTTCTTTCTTTCTTTTTTCTTTCTTTCTTTCTTCCTCTCTTTCTTTTGTTCTTTCTGTCTTTCTTTTTTGGTTCTTTTTTTTTCTTTCTTTCTATTTTCTTTCTTTCTTTTTTCTTTCTTTCTTTCTTTGGTTCATTCTTCTTTCTTTCTTTCTTTCTGGCTCTCTTTCTTTCTTCCTTTCTTTTTTGGTTCTTTCTTTCTTTGGTTCATTTTTCTTTCTTTCTTTCTTTCTTTCTTTCTCTCTCTCTCTCTCTTTCTTTCTTTCTTTGGTTTATTTTTCTTTCTTTCTTTCTTTTTTTGGTTCTTTCTTTCTTCTTCTTTCTTCCTCTCTTTCTTTTGTTCTTTTTGTCTTTCTTTCTTTCTTTCTTTCTTTTTCTTTCTTTCTTTCTTTCTTTGTGTCTTTTTTTCGTTCTATTTTGGTTCTTTCTTTCTTTCTTTCTTTGGTTCATTCTTTTTTCTTTTCTTTCTTCTTTCTTTTACCTAGGATTATTTTCGCAAATTTGAGAACCCAATCTTATAGAACAGTTTTTTGTTCTCCAACCGGTGTGTCTCCTGAACCCAAGACTTCTGCAAGTGGTCGCTAGTTGTTTCTTTATCCTGGGTATGACGATATAAACTACATCCGACAGCAAGGCCTCAGATTGAGGTTTTGAGGATTGTAGAATCACTTCTTACCTGCTGTTGTTCACAGATCTACCCTGACTCGGGGTGGTAGCACCAGTTAGGCTCCCACCTAAGGGTAAATAGTTAAGCCCCAAACTGGGGTCAAAACACCATGAAAAGTGTAGAAATACATTTTTATAGTGGAGGTGCCAACAATACATTTTCATAGTAAAAAATTACCAGCAAGAATTTTTTTCTAAGGAAAGAATCCATTACATTCACTTACTTGCTAATACCCTTGGGAAAGATATGAATCCTCTTCTTCTTCCCCCATCCAGCTATGGGTAAATAGTAGGACAGACCGAATTTATAGCCTTGATGGTAACTGGTCTACCGCAGAAAGAAATAGCAACCTACTGCAGGAAAAAAATCTGCCTCGACAATCATGTATCGAAAGATACATGATCGCCTAAGCGTGTATCACGCATAGCGATCATGTGTATATATATATATATATATATATATATATATATATATATATATATATATATTAAAATATTACATTTATATAATATATATGTAATATATATATTAAAATATTATATTTATATAATAATATAATATTTATAATTTGTATAATACATATTATATATGTTATAAATATTATGTTTATATTTTATATATATATATTTTTATATATTATATATATTTATATATATATTATATTATATATAATATATATATATATATGTATAATATATAATATATATATATATATAATATATATATAAATATAAATTTATAATATATAAAATATATATAATATAATATATATATATATATATATATATATATATATATATATTATATTATATTTCCAAATATATATATATATATATATATATATATATATATATATATATATATATATATATATATATATATTTGCTAATATTTTTTCTATAGAAATGCATTGAAAATCAGGAAGAAAAGGATTGTCAGTGGTCAGGAATTACGGCGAGCATTACTTAGAGTTTTAAAATCATTCAGTGTGCCAACAGCATACGTATATTTGTACAAGTCAAGATCAATATACCTGTTCTACAATATATTTTATATAATAATATATAGTATATATACTTTAGTATATATTAAAATTGAAACAGCTAAATGTCTTTTTTGCGTTGTAGTAGTTATTGGTTTGGACTTCTTCATGTCATTTGCAGCTGCATGACATTGAAAAGTACTTGGCGTGCCACTGGTATGTACATTCACATAAGTAGAAAAAAAAAAAACAACAAAAAAAAACCGAATCTTCAACAGTTTATCCAGAATTTTAATTTGGATATAATGACAACTTGTTAGAAAATTGAAAAAATACATTAAAAGTTAGATAGTCAAATTCAGTCGGTTGAATTTAATAAAACATGTTTAAATGAATTCATCCTACCTAAATATTTAATATTTTTTTGTGGAGGAGTGATTTATTTTTTGGAAAATATTTCTAATCTTTGCTTATTTTGACTCAACTCGGAACTGCGCCCACCTTCTACGAGTCATGAATTTTTATCAAAATTCCCAGAGCTAATAAAAAAAGAAAATGGCATTTGTGTGGAATTCTTGACCAAAGATGTGTAAGGCAGGTTTCAAATAGTTTGTCGACAAGAGAAAAGCTGAAAGTAATAAATATTTTTGGCTTCCGCACAACACAAAAATCCTGTTGTGCCTGCGCACCTTTTTCAAAATTGGAATAAATCCTACTTGCATCAGCGTGTAAAATTCTAGAACATGGCTGCTAATGGGAGTTTAAATCTGTCCCCCAAATTCCGTACCGTACCGTTTTTACTAACACACACACACATACAAAAACACACACACAACAAATAATGGCTGGCTGGCCGCTCGTATCTGAGTATACCTGTCTACTAATCCCTGTTGCAGACGCATGTTCTGGCACATTTGTCATTGTTGAACAACCATAGAACCCACCTGTGGTTTATACTGCAACTATGCTGAGGAGACCTTAGAGAGTGCCTTATCTGGCGTGTCCAACAGTCTGAACAATGTTAGCACGCTCAAACCTTCGGTCACGATGGCTTGCGACTTCGTGCTAGAATAACCTTCGACGGCTCCCAGATAGTTCCGTCCATCCAATTGCACTCACATATGGTTCTTCAGGCACTTTCCAAAGGTGGCGCACGCAGAGATCGCCCATCTCGGGGCCGACATCAAGAAGTCTCCTGGATGAGGTAACATCAAGAAGTCGATCATGATTAGATTCGAACTCGGGTTTCATGGTTGGAAAGCGAACATCCTAACCACTCGGCCACACACACACACACACACACACACACACACACACACACACACACACACACACACACACACACACACACACACATATATATGCACAGACAGACAGAACTATATGTAATGTTGATATTTACTCAACTCAGATATGATACGAAAATGGTGCCTAGGATAATTGCCTCAAAATATACCTGCTTTTTTTTTTTATATACCTGCGTTTTTATATTTATACCTACATTTTATATTTATACCACATTTTATATTTATACCTGCTTGTGTATTTGTACCTGCTTCCACACACACACACACACACACATATATATATATATATATATATATATATATATATATATATATATATATATATACAATCGTTCTCTCACAGACGTAACGTCGCCTGCCTCTATCTTTTTTACAAATACTTTCACGGTAACTGCTCCGACAAGCTACTTTCCCAGACTGCATGAATTCAAACGTGCTACTAGGCAGGCATCTTAGTCCCACCCTTTCACTGTCGAAACGG